ATACTTGGGTTTAAAGAAAAGCCATTTAAAGTGTGTAAGTCCCATTGCATTGATCCCAAAGACTGAGAAATCTCAAAAAGTAAGTTGAGATCAATGGGACTCTCAAAGGAGTAAAAGTACCCATACAGGGAGAACAGTAGTGGACTGAGGCCATGTGCTTGGTTGCTGAGGCTTGTAAAGTACAAACGTGCCTTGAGAAGCACAAACGTGTTTCCTAGAACAACTCCACCAAAAAATGCATCTGTATAGGCTGTGAAATTCTCATAAGAGGGAGTGAGTTTTAGCAGGTCGAATTATCAGATGTGGAGCATGTAAAGAAAATGTAGTAGTAAGTATATGAAAATCCATCACTGGAAGAAAATAGGATAACAGATGAAACACCGGTGGTCTCAATAGCCTTTTCCTGAGATGAAGAGTCTTGCCTTTGCCACATAAAGGATCTTAAAACTGCTTTACTTTTTCATTTACATTTGTCCCATGATCACATCATTGACATGGAACAGAGCCTTAACATTATGTTCAAAGAAAATGTGCATTTATATGTAGTTTTACAAATACATCTGCTCAGAGTGTGATCCTGTAAAAGGAATAACAGGATTTGTTTACATTTTTGAGTGTTCTAAACTACTTGAAGGACAAGGTGATTGAAGGTTGAGTGTTAAAATTAAATGGAGTAAGCTTAAGCTGATAAGTAAATAAGTTAAGAATAGAGGGTCATAGTATAGCCAAGTGGTCGTTACTGTGCACTTGTTGGCTTGGAGATTAACTGTTTGTCTATACTGTTGGATACACAACTATGAAACTCTTCTAGGCATACACAGGTATAAAAAGTAAGGACTCTTGCTTAAGTCAGAGGTTCTGAGACCTGAAAAACAGTCCATGACCTTTTCCTTTCATATTCTTCTATGCATACATCAAGTACCAGCTTCAGCTTTCAAAGAATGAATTTTGTTTAAAGAGCAGATCAGTTAAAATGGAAGACTGAAATAGTGGAGCAGACTTTGAAATGCAATGTGCATCAACAATTTGCAGAACCACTGTTCTTTTGCACCACTGGAGGAGGAGTGTTCCAGAAATCTCTATTGAAAGCACTGTCCCCTTGATTTGGTTTCCATATTGAAGACTAAATGGACTGTGAGAAGTGGCTAAATGTTGCTGTGTTTATTTAACCTTCCAACAGCTGGGGCCTCTCTCTTATCTGTAGAGGGTAACGCATCATTCTGACTGCACTTACGGATGTATGTTTACATCTAAAGATTTCAAAATGCTTCAGCTACCCATCCAAACTGTCTGCGATTGATTCGCCCTCTTAAAGTACTGTGGCTGTTGGTGCTGTTATGAAAGACCATCTTGAGCCAACCCTCAAAACCTGTTCTTTGTCCAGACACCAGCTTTGCAAGCTGAGTCCCCTACTCTCTCTGAGCTGCATCTGGGACAAAACTCTGTGAAGTAGAAGGAAAGTTGCCTCTCCTAATCACTTTCCTGGCTGGTTCTTAGAGCCCTAATATTTTCTGTGTTCTTGAGTCCAGAGTAGAGCAATAGAGCTGGGGAAAGGACTAGTGACTAAGTCTGGTGAGGAGTGGTGGAGGGAGATGGGGGTGTTTAGGCTGGAAAAAAACAAAGCTCAGGAGGGACCTTATCACTCTCTACAACTACCTGAAAGGAGGTTGTACCCAGGTGGGGGTTGGCCTCTTCTCCCAGGAAGCCAATGACTGGATGAGAGGACATGGCCTCGAGATGTGCCAGGGGAGGTTTAGGTTGGACATCAGGAAGGATTTCTTCATGGGAAGGGTTGTCAAACACTGGAATGGGCTGCCCAGGGAGGTGTTGGAGTCACCATCCTGGAGGTGTTCAAAAAACAACTGGAAGTGGCACTTACATGGTCTAGTTGACAAGGTGATAATCGGTCAAAGGTTGGATTCAATGATCTCAGAGGTCTTTTCCAACCTTAATAATTCTGAGCTGCTTTACATCTGCTTTGTTCTGTGTGCCGATGAGGGTCACACAAGACTGATATCTTGGCAGCTTTGTCAGAGGTGTAACCATCTGCAGGATGCACAAATTTCAAGTGGAAGGAGACCTTAAGGGAGACAGAGATCTGAACTGTTCCGGCTCAACATTTCTGCCATGGACAGTTAAAATAAAAAAACAATCAAAATTGCATTTGGAAGGCTGGTGCCAGCATCTTAACAATGTCCAATTATATATTCAGCATACTGCCAGTGGAGCAACTCAAGGATTAAATTAAAAGATGAATTTAAAACATGGTTGTGTTATTCTTCATTGATTTTTCCCTTTAAATTATATAAAATGTGCTGTGACCTAGGGCCCAGCAAATTCATACATATGGACATAAAAGGCATTGCTGAAAAGGCAACTTGAAAAGATGCAGGTAACAATAATGACTGAAGTATAGATCCAAGTTTCAATAGAAATTACTTTTCTATCAGCTGAAAAGGTCAGCCTTTATGCAAGCAAGGATTTAAGAGCCCTGTTGTTATTACCTTAAGTAATACCCACAGTTACAACATTTTTTCCTCCTGCCATTTCATAAATGTCAGCATAAGGTTTTTATTTCAGGGATTGTGGAAGAAATATAGCGGATTACACACCAAATGAATGTTTCTACCATGTGAAATATACTTGGGTAACTAGGTGCCTACAAAAAAACTACATATTGAAGTTGAATGTACTGGCATATGAAACAAAATGGGTTGATGTTAATTATAGAGGCTGATAGTTGATTTCTAGTGATCTAAATTACCATGCTTAAAATTATTTCAGCTTTTGCTAAAATTTCCTAGTTTGCTGCAATGTCTCATGAAATCCACCCTACAGAGGGCAAGCATTATTGTTCCTGATGCTTATGCCTTTTCTTTCATTCCTTGTAAATATTAAATATTTCTAAAATAAATGTCATTGTTATTTCAGATTTAATAACTTTAAATTGGGAGGGGGTTATATTTTTGTGAGATAGCCTTTGTCTGATTAAAAGATGCAGGTCTGACATTTCAGATGCTTGGGCATAAAAAAATTTCATCTTTGTCTTCCTGCAATTATTGAAACTTTTGAATTTTTGTCAGTTTCTTTTAGGTGAAAATCAGGTGAGTTTGCTTGCAAGTAGCTCCCACCTTCACACCTTCCCCTAAATTGAATGTGTTTTATAATCTTGAAGAAACATGTCATTTCAAAGGCAGAGGACTCCAGTGTTGACTCCAGTGTTCCAAGGTTAAGTCATTACCGAGTATAATAAGGTCTATAAAACTTAGTAATTACTGTTCGGACTGTAGGTCCAATCTGAGATTGAGTGCAAAGAAGGAGAAATTTCACAGCCAGTGAAGCTGAACAATATACAGTAAATTAAGAACATTTGCTGAAAACAGAGATGTAGCCTGATGTATTGATACATGCTGTAACCAAAACTCCTTCATTTCATTCTGATTCTTTTTTTCACCAAATAGCAGAAATGTACTGAAGAAAAGCGTTGAAGTACATTTTCCTCTAGTACAGAATATATTTTTTAATCTTCAAAATGTTTTCTTCTCCAAATTCTGTTAAGTAGCTATTTCTTCATTATTTAACCAAGGAGTGTGCAAACTCCACAGAGGAGTAGGGCAGACTGAAATATTCATGTTAAATCTTACTGGGCACATTTGGTGTTACAGAAGAGGTAAGGGAGAGGTGTTCTTATGTCCTTAGTTTGCTAAAACTAAACACTACCCATAATCTGAAACCTAATATCCCATATTTAGTTGATCTGTTTGTGAAGCTCTTTGTTTGCCTTTGCTGCACTATAAAGCTTTCTTTTTCTTTGCAAAATTAATTTCTTCAAATAGATTCTTGGCAGATGCTTATTTACTGTCAGGGATGCAATTATTACCTGTCAGAAACACATTCAGCAGTAGGAGACACAGTGTTGTCATTGCAGTTTGTAAGGAGCTGAGCGAATGAGTTAATGAATGAATGGGTTAATGAATGAATACATTAATAAATTTACCTTTAACCTCCAGAGATTGCAGTGTTAGTCTTTATTCTGTAAACAAGCACATAAAAATCTCACAGTCTGCAACCTCAGGGTCATTTCCTTAAACTGCAAAAGAAAAGAAAAATCCAAACCACAATTCACTGTGGCTGACTATCTACAAGGAGTAGCAGCCTGGGATGAAGATGGGGAGTAGATCAGGTTAGTGCTCTACTTCATTCAGTTTATATATTCATCGTGAAGAAATCAGATGGGCAATTTGTACTCCTGATCAAAGGGTGAATTCAGTGCCCTCAGAATGCAACTTTCAGGAGCTTCAGTTTTCTTCCATTGCAAAACTAATTTTTTTTTTTTTTCTGGAAGATGACCATCTATGTAGAACTTAACAGGGTTGTGATAGAGCAGTATTGATACTATTACTGGTTTAGCACATAAGTTTGCGTATTTAACTTTCTGTAATAAGACTCTCCTCATGAGGAAACTTGTCTGAGGACAGTGTGTTTTCCACTGACATTAGGAATTAATGCCAACTAACCAAACTCCTATAGAGAATAATCCATTATGTGTTAAACATGAGTCTACTCAGGAGTTAGGTACTGGAGGAGATCCACAAAATGCCACCAAGATTTGAGCTAGGCATAATAAAGATACTTCTCTGCATATTCACATATTCCAGTATTAAAGGGGGTATAATGCTTTAAAAGTGCCAAAAGATTAATTATTTTAAGCTCAATAAACTGAAGGCTGAATGTTCAATATTGTGGTACTCCCATTATTGTCAGCAATTTCTCTCAAATAATTAGTTTTAGATTATCAGGATAGCATTGTTTCATTCCTTTAGCTAACCAGTGTGCCACTTATCTGTACATGGCATTAGTGGTGGCCTTTAGCATGCAACCACAAAGCTCTATTATCAACAAGTTTGAAGCTTGGGGAATATGTGAAAAATAATAGGACATTGAGTGTTTTTATCAGTTTGATTGGAGTGGTAATTTTTGGTAATTGTGTTCTTTTACAGAATAACTCTACAGTCACTTAAACAATTCAAGTGTAAATGTTCAATATGTACTTCGAAACAGACAAAGAAACAGCTTCTTTTACAACCTCATACTGAGGACCTCCTGAAAAAGAGAACACTGAAGCAGAAAACAGTTATTATTCTCTGTTCCCACTGATATTGTTAATTGCTGAGCATATCTGTGATTGAAGAAGAAAATTTGCTCCCCTGCAGCCAGGTTCTTTCTCTTAGAGTCTTTCCACAGTCATAAAGCTTTGCATAGAGACTCCAGACTCAGACTCAGCCAAAATGGGCTGTCTCAGCGAGAGAGACTAAAGAAACTGCTCCAGAGCTAAGGCTGGTGTCACATCCTTCTTCAGCATTACTCTACTGATGCTTGCAGGCACTAGGATCCAGGAGATACTGCTCCTCCACTCAACCCTATCACCTGTGTTCACCAAGAAATGGCTATCTGGGAGTGGCATCTAGTGGGTGGAGCTTTGCAACTCAAGTGGAATAATGGAGTACAATCGTAATTACAAGTTCAGCTGACCCTTTACTGCCTGGTTCAAACAGATTATTTGCTCTTTCCCCCTTCTGCGTCCTTCCTCATTGTCCTGTTCCCTCTAACCTCTCACACTTTTCTCCATTATTGTGTTCCCTTTACTAGTTTCAAAGTCCTGTTCCTTTGCTTCCTCTAAAATTTTCGTAATTTTAGTCTTTCTGCAATAAACCTCCTCACCTCTACACCATCTTCCCCTAGAATTGTCAAAATAGCAAGAGTTTCATGCCATTGCATTACTCATTGAAATTTTGTGTATAATTAAAGATTATCAGAAATTTTTCATCACAGCATGATTTCACTGGAAAAAAAGAAGTTGAAAAAATACTGCAATTATTTTATTAGGTTTTAGAAAATATTCTACTGGTAAATTTCAAAACAAAATGCTTTATATTGATATTTAGTATACTTATTCATTTTGGAATTTTGAAAATTTGGGTGCAGTGGTTTTGGTTGAAAAAGAATTTGTAGGATTCTGAAATGAATTTTCTAAAACTGATCCGTCATAGGCAGTTTCCAGTTTATGGGATATTTTGAAAATATTTTACAATGAAAATAATTTTTAGTCTCAAACAAAAAATGTTCAAGTTTTGACCTGCTTTTTAGATCCCTGTCTTCCATTCTGTATTATTCATTGGCTACTCACATTTTTGGATCTTAAGAGCAGAAACTCTTCTTTGTACAGTACCTAAGACAATGGGATTCTTTCTTTCTTCTCAGGACTAGCACAATTAATATTATTTGAATAATGATCATTTGATGTGGAAATACTTGGATTAAAGTCATTGCCCTGGTTATTGCAGAAGGTTAAGGTCTATTCTATCATGATCCTTTCCAGTCAGTAATATGATGAAGCCAATGCTTATGGTACTATTGCAACTTCAATAAAAAACATATTTTATGTCAGTCATATTCTGTAAGGATGTGTCACTGATTCATAAAATCACTTCTTGATGAAGGCAGTCTCAAAAGCAGAAAAAAATTTGCTAGTAGGATAGAACTGTATGTTTTGATGCAGTACCAAGTAGTAGGAACCAGAAGAAGTGTTATTTTTATTTAGTGATCATAACCATACCTTAATTTTGTCTTAGAACTAGGCTTCCCTTTAGGTGTTAAGCAACTGCATTATTTTTAAAATGTCTCTGTGAAGCAATCTAGATCTATGAGGCAGAATTTTGAGAAAATTCTATTTAGTCAATTTCGAGTCAAACAGTGTTCCCAGCATGCACACTGTCAACCAGATTTCTGTCCTTTCTAAAGCAGAAAGCATTTACTGAACTCCATCTTTGAACTACACTTCACCTTGTGTCATGGTTGAGTAACTGCAAACACTATTTCTGCCATATTCAGTTGTATGTTATTGATGCCATTTTAAATATGCACATAAAAAAGAAACCATTTATCGCCCTCAATTAAATCCGTTCCTCTGTAATGGCATAATGTCTAGCTGCCAAATAACTTCATGGTATTTTTATTACTCTCATTAGCTTTACTGAAATGGAGCCAAACAAAAGAATGCCGTGGTAACTGAGTAATATGTCTTTCCACCTGGTCTCCAGGAGACACAGTATATTCTTAATGTTAGTTAGAAAATATTCTACTTTATTTCAAATTGTTTATGGAGAGATTTCTGTCAGAAATAATATGATGAAGTTAGTAATTTCAAAGCTAGTAATTTAATGAATTAAACAGTTTTTATTGCTCTGGCAGATAAGTTGCCCACTGAAGTTCATCTAAGTTCTTTCTTCACAGAATAGTGTGTTTGGATGGAATGACAAAGAGCAGGTGGTTAAATGTGGTGGGGTATTTTTTGGTGAAACATTGCATGTCGGTCTGTTAGAGCCAGTTGAATCAGATAATCCCATAAATGTGAGGCTGCTTTAGGTCCATATCCTCAATTTCTGCCTGTAGCAAAGCTGAGCAGCTGCTCCCAGAAGGTGGGTGCATGGGCACAAAAACCACACAGAGGCAACACACATCAGTGAATCTGTAACATTTACGTGTAACATATACATTTACACATATGTGTGTGCATTTGCACACGAAAAATGGATCGCTGTAGTAGCTGCTCCTGGATGCTCAAGTGACCCAGTAGCTGGCCCCAGATCCCCTCATCTCCCCAGTTGCGGGGGAGCTGCATTTGAGCCTGGAGGTTTGCAATCCCTCTCTTCTCCACTGGCTAATCCAGCTGAAAGTTCCCTAGCATCCAAAAGTACCACTCAGAACAGTCCACCCAGACAGAAGATAGTTGGAAATAGGATTTAATGAGAGCATAGGGCAGACCACAGTGATCAGGCACACATTTCAATCTGACAAGCCACCAGTTTACACTGAACTGACCTCTTTATTCCTCTTATTTTCCCATGCTTGTTTCTCCCCAGTCCACTTTGATCCTTTCCTTTCCTCCCCACATTCTTTCCCTTCAGGCATCCGTTAATGAGTGCTATACCTCCTTCAGTCAATGAGGCATGTGGGGAAGGGAGTTTGTTTGGTGGGTTCCACACAAGGACTGTGCTTTGGTAGTCAGGTGAAGCTCATTCCCTGCACCCCATGTTCACTAATTACGCTGCTAGAGCTGTCAGTTTTTGTCTGATCCTGGCCTGGCCTGTGTAGGTGTTGATTAGCCTTTGAGTAGCCTAGCACAGTCTACCAGTAAGTTTAAACTGCATCTGAAGTTGCTACAAAATTCTGTGCTTTTATTGAAACAGATAAAGGAAAGCATGTACAGTAACACCGTATTTTACCTCAGTCTCTATTGCTCTCAGTGTTTAAATGTATTGACTTAGGGTTTCAGTATCTACAGCAGCTAATACAAAGAGTGACCTTTTTTCTCTCAAAGTTTTAGGAATAAAGTAGGGATACTTCCGGCAATGTACTAATCCTAGATTTCTTTTTCTTTTGCAGCCTATGAAGTGATCTGACATACATGAAAGAGAGGAATAAAAAGATTCCTTACGTACATGAATCCCTTAGGTAGGAAATTCAACTGTATATTTCATGACTATTCGATATATAAAGAATATTTAAAATTATTATAGGAAGATAACTGTGGAGTTGGGCTTGATAATTGGTAGAGATTAATTTCCATCATATTTTAAGTTCTAATGTAAATTCTAGCTTTCAGACTCTAAAATTTTACCCTTTAGAGCTTATGATTTTCTTTTCTGTAAAAGACAGCTGTAAAAATAATAATCCTGCAATCATGGCTAAACATTCAAACCACCAGGGAAGAAAATGGAATATTCAGGGGCTGTGAAACTGGTAGATAAAGATTGCTATTGTTAGCTAAATCGTGTTTTAGTAGGAAAACAAAGGCAGTAGAGGTGGTATTTAGAAAAGAAAAGAAAAATTGTAGTAAATGATCAGTTTTTAGTTTTTGTTAAACTTATGAGTCTGAGCAAAGCATTTGGTTATTCTGTGTCTTAGTTCCCTATCTGTAAAGTAAGGATAATGGCACTTTCTTCTTGTCATGGCTTGCTTTTTTTTTTCTCTTTGTCAATTTAAATGGTGAGAGTTTTTAGGAGAGTTTCAAGCTCAGTTCTGTAAAATAAATAAATAGGAGCTAAGAGCATAAATACTATGATGGAGAAGGTGAGAGTCTAAACTATTTTCAAGAATTTGTGTTTTCATGATTTTTCTTTTTCAAAAATGAATCAAGTCTTTCAGATGGAGAAGCATATCTCCGTGTGTGAGGGAAGTTGTTCCATTCATCATCACATCTTGACTGCTAATCAAAGGAAGGGTTGCAAAGAGTTGTTAGGAGGTGGAGGTAGTTTGTTTAGGAGAGAAATTTAGGAAAAATATATTTTTACCCATGTATAGGCTATTCAGGTGAAATCTAAAAGACCTTTTCATTGCTTCCATTTTATGCAACACAGAGAAATATAAAGTCCTTAGTCCCAATAAATTAACTGGATGTCAAGGTTCCCTTACATAGCCAACATCAGGTACTAAGCATCCTCACAAAGTACTCCATAGAAGCTATGTGCTAAGTAGCTACCTGGAATCAGTCACAAGAAATTCAGATCAGAGATATGTCTGAACTCCATAAATTCTCTGGAGCCTGTACATCACCATGAAGGCCATACTGGGTGCCTGAGGGATTCAGAGTACTGAGACATCCAATTAAGGCTCATTCAGAGAGGGAAAACAGAACTCTTGTCACACTGCACACCTACAACTTTTAATTTACAGTATGATCCCAACCATCACTGTCATTCAGAAACACATCTAGCAATAACAGTGCTCAAATCATGGCTAGGAACATGTATCTGTGTTGACATTTGAGATCTCTGCGTGGGAAGGCAGACTCATGCAGTATCCACAGTATAGTTGAATGTTCTGGATGGTCAAACAGACTGTCACATTCTTGCTTTATTCTGTTCTTTATCTGTGCTTGGTTTTGTACAGCTGTAGTTAAGCCTTTCAAATGGTAATGAACTCTGGTGTTTTGCGAACTCCTTAATCTGCCTTCCCCCAGGCTGAAAGATGAACATTGTTTATCATCATGACTAGTGGGAATGTGAAACTTTTTCAGTACATTTTGGTAAAGTACTTTTGGCTTTTGATTTATTTAGCCGCAAAAGCAGAACTTGTGATGGACATAATGTCATTGCCATTGGCTGATACACAGTTGTTCCTGTTCCTGCAAGCCTGAAAGCATTGCAGCTAGAAAATTTTTCCATCTGTGCAGAACTGAGTAAAGACTTCTCTGACAATCTCGAGAGATTTGTCCATCAGCATAGCCAAGAAAGAAAGAAAAGAACGCAAGAACTAAAAGTCAGTTAGGACAAGACCGTTTGTCTCTCAACCATGCTCCACAGCACCTGATTTCAGTACTGGTGTTTAGCTTTCAGCTTCATCTAGTAGCATTGTCAGCACAGTTTTCAGACCTACGATTTCATTATATTATCAGTTCCAGAGTAGCATTATTTTACAGGAACATTTAACTCTTCTGTGCATTTTAATGCTGCTGTAATAATTTCCATTTCCATCAAGGAGCACTCTTTTCCAGTGTGTGATGTGCAGCTGTTGAATACTATGTAACAGCTGTGTTAAAAGGGAGAAATTCAGCTGGAATGTCAGAATGCAATAACTTAGTTGGAATTAAATCAACACCTTCAAAAGGAGGCATATGATCTTTTAATTATCAGTTACTCAACCCTTGGTTTTGCATGACTTTGTGGCAAATCAGTGTCCACTGTATCCCTTATAAAAGAATGCATTCAGACCTAAAAGTGAGGCATTCCCTCACAGCATCTTCAGAAATGCTAGTTGCCCTTTTATGAAAACATTTTCGTGTCATAGATAGGGGAGATGAGGCATTTTTTGATACAGTTATGACAAAGGGGATGTTATCTATTTTATTTAAGCAAGTATTTTCAAAAAAAAAGACATCTCTTCAGAAGCCTTATAAACTCTATTTGAATCACAAATTCCAAATACCAGGCAACCATGGAAACATTCTTATTTTACACATTCTTATTTTCCCTCTTTTGATGCTTATCTCCTGCTACATTTATAGGCGACAGCCACCCTTGCACGGAGTACAAAGCCAATTCTTCTAAATCGCCATCATGAGACAGCCTCTGTGTCATGATTGTAGCTGTGTTCTAAATCTGTTCTAAATCTGGTCTGGTTTTTTTCCAAGTATAGGTGACGAGAATTGTACCCAGAGCCTACTGTGTGGCATTAATAGGTCCATATTCCTCCCCTGTATATCTCCTGTTGATTTTCACAACCACATTGCAGAAGTGATTCACAATCATCTCATTTTCAAATGCTCCCAAGGAAAAAGTACTTGGTTTTAAATGCATTAATTTCTTCCTCTTTGTATTAATTTGGTTCTTTAGGTCTTCATTTTCCAAAATTATCCATTTTACTTGCTAGAGTGCTCTAATAGAGATTTTGTGATACCTCTCCTTTGTTGTATTGAAAAATTTCAGTCTTTTAGCCACTGTAATCAGTTTTCCTTACCTGTCAATTCTTCACACAGAAAAGGTCTGTCTGTAAAAGTAAAAAAATAAATCATGGTACCAGTTACTTTATAGGGAATCACCGTATGAGTCTGAGTTTGAAAGTGCTGTATTTTGCAAATGTTTCAACTGTTTTTAGCAATAGCGAAATATTTTAAATGATATCATATGTACATGAAATAGCTACTGTTTATAGTTCATTATTTCACCTTTGCTTGAGAAAAATGTGCCTTGCATGAGCGCAGTCAACTGTGTCCCTCATTATAAAACACCAAATTTTCAGCTGATTTCTAAAGGTGAACACTAAAATTTGTGCCTGCCATTTTTTTACAGTAATAAAATTTTCATGTGCTTACTCAAAACGAATTTATATTTAGGTGGTTCTCTCTCCACTGCCTGCATATGCACAGAATGCTCTGAGTGAGTTTAAAACTACCCCAGATGTGATTTTCTAGCGTGTACCTCAGTTATGGGTGTGAAATGTGCCTGGATATTTGGAAGTGGTATGTGGAAATGTAGCCAACTGTTGTTCTTTTCCTCATTGTCCACAGTAAACGTGTTTTAGACTGAGTTAAATTAACTGATACTTCATTTGCCTTTGTGCTGGAAAAACATTTGTATGATGATGGATTACAGTTTCTTGATACAGAAAATGAATTGCATGCTGAAAATTGAGTCATCTGATAAACCGCAAAGAATTTTTCCTCACCAAAGGCACAGCTTGTTCCCATGCTGTGCTACACTGGGTGGGTTGCAAGCTTACAAGTACCTGTCAGATGTGCTTGGTGGGAGTGGAAAGCTGAGGTAAGGAGCCTGCTATTTAGTGGGTAAATTGTTCTTCTCTAGTTTCAAGGAGTGAGGCTGGCTACTGAGAAGCTAATAGCCGACTGCAGTCATCATCTCCAAGCAGGAAGCATATTGGTGGGAGAAGCAGCAGGTTTGCCTTAAGTGGTACTGTCTTTCCTTCAGGCTAAGCAAACAGATTTAGCAACAACAGGCTCTCCAGAGCACCCAGAATTATAGCCTGAATTCTGAGGACATCTAGTGGTGTCAGCCCACTGCAGGGACCGGGTCTTTGTCACAGCTGGTGGCTTTCCAAGTGCACATGTGTTTTTCTGCCGTTCTACAGCATTAGCCTTTACAGGTTGAAGAAAGAGGGATAATTGCATCCCATCTTGCATTTTCACACAGTAAATTAGCTGTGACATTATGTCACTTGTCCCTTGGTTTCTTTTCTCTGATTTTGACATTTCCACTTCACTGCAAAATCCAGTGCAGTAAAAACAGTGAATGAAATGCACAGAAACAGTAGCATTCTTCAGCTCAGGTGATCCTGAATTCAACATCAACAGTCCCAAATATTCAGAAGTCATGAGATTAGATCAAAAATCAAAACCTTCTAAATAAATGTCAGACCTTTTCTATTTGCCTTCTGTTCTCAGGAGTTTCAGTGTTCGACTATGTTGACATCTTCTTTGTATCGATAGGGATAAAAGTGTATTTTTGTTACCAAAAGGCTGGTTTCTCAGGTGAATTAATTACTGTAAAAGTTAGAACCCTGAGATAAGCACCAGGTATCCCAAGATGTCAAATAAATATGCAAGATTTGTTAATGCTATGAAATTGTAATCCTAGCACTGCTAACCATTCAAGGACCTTTGGGAAAGCCTTCTTGCTACTCGGGGATTCAGGTTTTCAGCTTCTGAAGTGGAGCTGTAGGTGTTGCCGCACCTTTTTGAGAGATAACAAGAATCAATTAGCTGCAATTCAAAAAGGACTTTGATCAAGTCAAGTAATACATATTATATGTTAAGCATTGTTATTGACTGTTGCATGACGGTATGTTTTTCAGTGAGCCTCTGATCTGATATTTCCTCCTGAGGAAAAGCAGACATCATGAAGCAGAGATTCATTTCATCAGTTCAAATTATTTTGCAGCTTGCTCTGACTACAGCAGGTCTGACAGGTGAGTACAACCCTTCCTGAAACACTTGTTTTTCCTTAAAACACTTTCTTTAGAAAAGTATGAGGCTTTACCCAATCTATCCTGACCACCAGTGGAGCCTGGACCTGTTTAAAGTACTTTCTCCTGAAGTTTTTTATGGCATTTTGAAAATGGCTCGAGTCCTTTTTTTATATACAGTATTAATTTAAGGACTGTGTGGTGGCAATGATGAAAGGCACTCACTCCATCCCTACATTTACTTCATCCTTGTCACCTTCTGGGAAATTAGTATCATATGAATAGTCACACTATTTAAGATAGTGATATGGAACTTTAATGAAACAACGGTAAGCTTAAGTTGAAAGATCACATGCTTTTCATGTCAAAACATACGTAAATTAGTGGTCTGTGCTTTTGATATAAGCTAATGACAGGTAGTCTTAACAAGAAATATTCTTAAATGTATTTGGATTACCAGTGAATATCCAACTAATTAATGAATACATTCAGGTTGCCAGTAGACAAAAATAATCATCTAGCCTGTTGATTTCTTTCTTTTTGTCTAACCTGTAGTTTACTCTAACTATGCACAAATAGTGGAATTTTAGTTCTGTTGCAAAGTTGAAGGTGAAATTTAATTTTAAGATGATCTGAAGATAAAAAAATTCAATGTTCTAGGAAAAAAACGGCAAAGGTCATATATTTACTTCCAGTCATTGCAATTTACTTTGGAGATAAATATGCACTTTTTGAGTTTAGGTAAAAATCAAATTTTCATATTAAAAAGAGAAGCAAAATAATTTTAGTAGTTATTTTAGAAGTTTGAGGTAAAAATATATTTTTATGTATTTTTATATATCTATATGTACTTTTCTGAGAATTTTGATCCTTTTTCCAGGCAGATTTATTTGCCCAATTCAGTCGATAGTTTTGCATAATTTTATTGTCTTCAAAACAGCATTCCTTGGTGCCTGGGCTTATCACTCAGCAATGACAACAAAAAACATTGTCCTCCTCTAATATAACTAACTGGATTTTTGCACTTCCCTAGGTCAGTCATACCCTGGCAAACCTAAGATAATAAGATGTCGTTCTCTAGAAAAGGAAACCTTTTCTTGTTGGTGGAAGCCTGGCTCAGATGGAGGCCTTCCTACCAATTACACCCTGTTCTACAGCAAGGACAGGTAACGAGTGGTGCATACATATTCTGTAAGTGATCAAGTGATGGTTATGACAGAATAAGGGAATGATAACATTAATTTGTAAAGTTGTTTTTATGAATCTGTGTTAACTTCAGATAGCCAACAAGGGCTGCATGAGATGAGTGGCGTCCCTTGTAAGAAGAAGACATGACCACTGCCAGTCCCAAAACTTCAGCCTGTCCCTACTGAAACTCATCCAACCTTAAATCCCACTGAAGAAGTGCTGGGAAAGGCACATTTGTCCATCTTATCAGGAGGCACACAGCTTTTAGCTGAATGGGGTCTTCTCTGAGGAGTGGAGCATCAAGGCATGGAGCAGTGGGGGTCCTGTCTAGAGCCCATCACTCCCCCTTGGCCAGGGAGCAGGGCAGGGTGGGGGGACAGGGACAGACTGAGACCAGGCTGGGCCAGGACATCAGCACATGGGTTGAGGCTGGCTGGGGGGGCCCATGGAAGTGCAGGACTGTGGGGAGCTGGAGACCATCCCTGATGCAATAGGCTGGAACAGGGACAAGGGGCCCTGGGGGTACCTGGGGAGGCTGGGCAGGGGCAGTCAGGGCTGAGGGTTCCCTTGGGTCCCTGCCAAGGAGCCTGTCCATTAACATGCCCAGCAAAACCCCATCTGGAGTATAGAGAGTAATTGTTTCCCCTTTTGGAAATGTAGCCAATTTCCTGGTTTCCAAAATGGAGTGAAATCAGATTTATGTATCACTTCTCAAAAGTTGCTGTTTTGGTAAATTCTGTGACTCCTTCAGCTTGTTTAGGAATAAAAAGTGTATATGTTTGGCAACTTTGCTTAACCTGTGTATCTTTATGTAACTATACTTTTTTTCTTGAAAACAAGAGGTCTTTGAACAGGGCCAAGCAGGCAGGGAGGATCAGAGATTAAATTTCTTTGAATAAATCCAGTGAGGTTCAGAATAGATAAGGTAAAGCCTCAGACATCCCTGCTTCAATTAAATAAATTCCAAATCATTTGGTATTAATTGAGCAGAAAAGATGCATCCTTTAATAAAGTTACCACATTCAACAATGATCTAAGAGCTTTTATTTTATTAAAGCCCTGATGTTTCAGTCTTCATCAAAACAAATTTTAATGAGCATTTCAAGTTATATGTATCATTGCCTGGAACAACCCTGTCTAGGGAGGGTTAGGAGTGCTTATCCATTTCATTAAATCTGCTGAACGCAGACACTGCCAAGCACTCTAGATCTGGGCCACAATTGCATTTCTAGGCTCATTGTCTCTCAGGTACTATCCTCTTACTCACATTTTTTCTTCGAGAACTGTGACGAAATTGCCTGGAAACTAAGAGATCTTATTATTAGTGGTGTATAGAGCATAACACTGGGACTAACATGCATTCTTGCACCAAATAAGCTGGTGCTTTCAGTTTGTGTAATTCTTCACACTTGGGGTAGGCTGTGAGTACATCACCCAGTTCAGCTTTAATCGAATATAAAACTATCCCTCTCCTGAAAAAGCTGAAGACCCATATAAAAGTAATTTCTAAGAGACGGTGAACTAATAAATTTTTTTTTCTTTTGAGGTAGTTGTGATAATGATCATGTTAAGAACCAGGTAAATTAACATCAGAAAAGTCATAGAACAGATCATCTTGAGTGTGACCACACAGCACATACAGGGCAATCAAGGGATCAGGCCCAGCTACCATTGACTTAGGAAAGGCAAGTCCTGCCTGACTAACCTGGTCTCCTTTTATGACCAGGTGACCCACCTAGTGGATGAGGAAAAGGCTGTGGATGTAGTCTGCCTGGACTTCAGCAAAGCCTTTGACACCATCTCCCAAAGATACTCCTGAAGCCCACGGCTTGGACAGGGGCACTCTGTGCTGGGTTAGGAACCGGCTGGAGGGCCGGGCCCAGAGAGTGGTGGTGAACGGGGCTGCATCCAGTTGGTGACCGGTCACTAGTGGTGTCCCCAGGGATCAGTGTTGGGCCCAGTCCTGTTTAATATCTTTATTGGTGGTTTGGACGAGGGGACCGAGTGTGCTCTCAGTCAGTTCGCAGATGACACCAGGTAACAGGAAGTGTTGATATGCTGGAGTGTAGGAAGGCTCTGCAGAGGGATCAGCACAGGCTGGATTGATGGGCCAAGGCCGATAGGATGAGGTTCAACAAGGCCAAATGTCAGGTCCTGCCCTTAGGTCACAACAACCCCAGGTTACACTACCAGACTGGAGAAGAATGACTGGAAAATGGCCCAGCAGAAAAGGACCTGGAGATGCTGTTTGACAGTGGCTGAACATAAGCCAGTGCGTGCCCAAGTGGGCAAGAAAGCCAATGGCATCCTGGCTTGTGTCACGAGCAGGGTGGCCAGCAGGACCAGGGCAGTGATTGGGCGTTGGTGAGGCCTCACCTTGAGTGCTGTGTCCAGTTCTGGGCACCTCAGTTCAGGATGGATATTGAGGTGCTGGAGTGAGTCCAGAGAAGAGCAGCAGAGCTGGGGAAGGGTCTGGAGCACAAGCCCTGTAAGTGACTGAGGGAGCTGGGGGTGTTTAGCCTGGAGAAAAGGAGGCTTGGGGAGACCTTATCACTCTCTACAACCACCTGAAAAGAGTTTGTAGTGAGATGAGAGTTGACTTCTTCTCACATAACTAGAGACAGGATGACAGGAAATGGCCTCAGGCTGTGCCAGAGGAGGTTCAGGTTCACCATCAGGAAGAATTTCTTCATGTAAAGGGTGTTTAAACTGTCCAGGGAGGTGATAGTCACCATTCCTGGAGGTGTTCCAAGAAATGACTGGATGTGGCTCTCAGTGTCATGGTCTACTTTAAAAAGGTGAAGATTGGTCAAAAGTTGGACTCAGTGATCTCAGAGGTCTTTTCCAGCCTAAATGTGATCTTGCTGAAAACAAACTAATCAATAAAACAGTCCTCTGCCACAGAGCCCATCTTCTTAATTTCCGGGGGTAATACGCAAAGAAGATATTTAGCAACTTTTCTTATTTAGTCCAAGTGGATGTCTTTAATTTCCCTTTTACTTGCTTATAAATATTGTTAAAATTGCCTTGTGCTGTCTCTGGAAATTTCTCTTTGCATTCTTTTGTTGACATTCCTATGTATAAAAAAAAGGAGTGAGAGCACTCATCCAGAAAAACTGCAGTAAAAATAGCAGTGAAGCACTTATGGCAATAGCATTTGACACCAAAATGTTTTCCAGAGTTGAGATTATATGTATTATATACAATTATTATATTGTCATGTAATAGAATTATATTATGTATCTATATATAAAAATAATATGATTATATATAACCATTTCAAATTTCTCTGCGGAACCTAGGGCACTACTAGAATATTGCCTGCCTTGCTTTATTTCCTGAACTTTTAACTTTTAAATCATTTTATTTCAGTGAAGAAAAAATCTATGAATGTCCAGACTACCAAGCGTCAGGTCCCAATTCCTGCTACTTTGATAAAAACCACACTAATCCCTGGACAACATATATTATCACTGTAATGGCAACGAATGAGATTGGAAGTAACAGCTCAGACCCTCAGTATGTGGATGTAACCTCCATAGGTAAAAAGAGAAGAATAAAATGGAAAACAAGCTAGTTGGAGATGTATGCAGTTTTTAATCCCAGAACAAGTAGTGGTGAAAGATTTCTTTCCTCATGATGTGAAACTTGATATGGAGAAGTGTTTATCTACAGATGATCTAAAATATGCATCTTAAATTTATGTGAAAACTGCATTTTACTTACAAATTAAGTAACTACATATTTTACTGCCATTTTAACTTTGGCTCAAAAATTGGCTGCAGTTTCTAGCTGTCTCCAGTATTTCAGTTAGACTCAATGCAGATTATAAAATTTTCATTAGGTCGAGCTACCTAAGTTTTCCAAATGTGAACATCTTTATGGCTGCTGGCATTGAAGTCTCAGGAGGGTAGAAATAACTGCCTGAGCATTCTACGGGCTTTTTGTAGTATTTAATATTCCCAGCTCTGTTCTGCTTTCTGCATACACATGATATACACATTATAATGATAATGTACTTAGTTGTTTTAGCTATGAAATATCTGACATTTTAGTTTTGCAAGAGTGGCCTAATGAAATTATGATTTGATTTCCTTAGCCTGACAAGTTCACAGTAAAGTCTAAGATTTGCTGATACTGGTGGATCAGTAGCTGGTTAAACTTGCTAGGGAGAAAGGAAAAATAAAAGGCTATTGTACTATTCCCTTACAGAAGTGCTGAATGATCTGAAATTAATGTGATGAAATACAAAGCCATAAAGGAGGTGCCTCTTCTGAGAGAAAATTAAGTTATTAATGGCACGCTTTTCATTCATTTATACAGTTCAGCCAGATGCTCCTGTGAACCTCTCTCTAGAAACAAAAACATCTGCTAGTATAACATACCTTTGGGCAAAATGGTCTCCACCTCCGCTGGCTGCTGTCAGCTCTAATTCACATGCATATCACTATGAGCTACGACTTAAACCTGAGGAAAAGGAAGAGTGGGAGGTAATGGAAAAGTATATTTATTGTATAAATGCTCTATTCAGTGAGTTCTCTTGTCTCAATTTAACTGATATTATAAAAATTTTAGTTTCTGTATGGGTAGAAAAATTAATGTAACTAAATCTGATTAAGGAAAGAAAAATATTGTAGTGGTTTGTAGAACAGTGAAATTCAATGTATTTGCGTAATCATCCTAATGTCATATACTGCAAAACCCTATTTAGTCCACTGATATAATATTTATTTGTAATGATCCCAAGTGTCACAATAAAAGACTGTGCAGTTCATATAGTTTAAAACAAATCTGGATCAAAACAGTTTATTGATTCATTAAATTTAATTAACAATTAGTCACTTAACTATGCAGCACTCAGCAATCACTCAGCAATGGAATAGGTGAATCACAATACTGGGCACTTAAAAATGTTACTAGGCATCTACAAATTTATAAACACATTTCTATAACTAGTCCCAGACATATATACACTATATGAAACTCCCCTCTCCCAGGAAGGGTAGGTTACTCCCCTCCCTCTTCTATTTATTCCCACTTCTGTGGGTGACATGGATGCTTTAACATCATGTGAACTCATGTCCCTTCTTACAGTCTCCTAAGACACACATCAGTGAGAAAGGAGCCACATGGTCATATACAGACACCCAGGAGCAGCTTCCTGCCTGCTGCAGCCCACACTGTCTGGAGAGCAGCTACTCACAGCATCAGAGAGGGAGGCTGCTCTGGTTGGCCCAGGGAGAGGTCATGATGCTGACAGAGCAACTTCTGAGAGCATCAAAATATGCTTCAGCTGCTGCTGAAGTTTCCAGTGCCCCCCCCCAGTATTACAAGTTTTCTTGTTTATTTATTAGTAGTTTTCAAGTTTAACCTTGAGAAGTCTCTCCGTTGCTCCCTAATTATTATTTATTTGGGCTGAGAGTTATCATCATACTCTTCAACATAATCAGTTGGAGGCAACCCGCCACTCAGAAATTTTGGTGTGTCCTACTCACACACACCATTTCTATTGACATTCCCCACTGTAGGAATGGGCCTCAATATTCCCACAGCTGAGTTTTCAGGATAAATTATCATTCTTAAAGCTATAGTCAGATGTCCTCAATGCTATCTAAATTGTCAATGCTTTAATGATGGAGAAAGCTATGTGTTTTGAAAGAGTTCTGAAGAGAAATTCAAAGGACCTGAGAAATGCACTTAAGGCCACTGAGAAGAATTACACAAGGGTTTATATGTGAGCTGGACTACCTATAGTGTTCCTGGTGGTATGGATCTGATGGAGTACTAGGAAGGCTACAGTTAAGTATGTTCTTGAGTATCAGAATCTCAATGTTGAAGTGAATTTTTCTGCTAAGTCACTACCTTTGCTCTTCTGTAATTCACATCTTATAAAATACCAACTGAAATTCTAGACTTTCAGAATTCAGTAACTCAAGCCTATTCCTTTATGGTTTACTTGTTAAAATGTCCCAATTCTTTATTATTTTCCCAGTCCGTTTTCTTTTCCAGACAATATCTGTTGGAGTGCAGACACACTACAAGGTGACCGGGTTACAAGCTGGGGTGAAGTACATTGTTCAGGTCCGTTGCATGTTAGACCTTGGAGAATGGAGCGAATGGAGCTCTGAAAGAAACATCCAGATCCCCAATGGTGAGTTGGGGATGGTAATTGCTGTTCTGTAAATTGTTTTTAAGTTCTATCAGGTTCGATGTTGTGAAAGGTGCCTAAATGGTAGCCCTGAAAACCTGGCTTCTCACACAGATACTTCATAGTGCTGGAGGAACAGCTCAGTGCATTTTACTATAATTTCTGTGTAATTGCTTGTTTAGTCTTTTTGATCCACTCAAGATCCTCTGCTGAAACAGGCTATGACAAATAAAGTGGTATGAGGAAGTCACTTCCGATGCAGGTGTGCCTAAATAATTTATTCCTGTCCCTTAATTTAAAAATTACATTGATTTTATACGTAGCTACAGATGTCAGGTAATGTTTTTTGTGTAAGAACCTAGACTGAAAGCATTGCCATGTCTAACAGAGCACGACACTTGCAGATACTACCACATGGAATTCATTATCTATGTTTTCTTGAATTTGAGTAGGCACACTAAATATGCATGACATTATATCTTGTTGCCAGACACTTTAGCCAGGTTGTCTCAAATCTTCTTCTTCTGTCCTTAGTTGTATTATTCATTACTTGACATGAAGATTGCTGTTGACCATGAAGTACATGAAGTACTGTTAATAGAAAAATATCTTTTAAATTACCCATTTTCGGATCTGCAGTACACAATTAGAAATTTGGAAAATCAATGTCTCTGCTCTGCATAGTAGGAAATATTTATTATTGATGTAATAGGATCGTATTTTTTCCACAAGTGTATAATTGCAAAAGTTTCAGTCACATAAGGGTTTTGACTGGCATCATCCTATTCAAAATTTAAGCATTTTTCCCTGCCCTACTCTTAAGCGCTTTGCTTGAGTCTATAAAAACTTGCTTGGCAGCAATCAGGTGAGCATCCTGAGTACTGAACATAACAACACTACAAGGAAATATGAGAGCTGCTTCTTTGTATCTTTGGAGACAGATCATAGGTACTTCAGAAGAGAATTACTGGCAAGGACATAAACAAATGGGCAAACATTTACATTCTTCATTTTTCTTACCTAAAACCCAAAACAAATGACAGCATATTTTCTTAAACAACCAGAATAATCTTCAAACACGCTTTTTGAATTAAAAAATGGTTTCTGTATGTTGTGGTTTAAGCCCAGCTGGCAACTAAGCACCACATGGCTGGTCGCTCACATCCCACACCCCACCCCAGTGAAATGGGGAAGAGAATCAAAAGTAAAACCTATAAGTTGAGATAACAACAGTTTAGTAATTGAAACAAAGTAAAATATAATAATAATGATAAATAATAATAATGATAATAAAAAGGAAAAAAACAAAACAAGTGATGCTCACCCCAACTGACCATTGTCAAATCCCATCCCTACACCCTGATCAGCCCCACTTCCAGATAATTCCCCAGTTTATATATGGGGGATGATGTTCTATTGGTGTGGAATACCCCTTTGGCTAGTTGGGGTCACTTGTCACGACTATTTTTGCTCCCAGCATTTTTTTATCTGCTTTGTACCTACTCAATGGCAGAGCAGGAGACACAAAAAGGTCTTTGGTTTAGGATAAACATGACAGTAACAACCAAAACATCCATGTATTGTCCACATTTTTCTCATACTGAATCAAAACCACAGCACTATACCAGCTGCTGAGAAAAAATTAACTCTATCCCAGGTGAGAGAGGGATAGCACAGAAAATAGATTGTATAGCAGAGTGTATTTTAAATAATTTTATAGAGGCTGCTTTAGCAGTATGTGACCACTCCCTATAAGATTTTGGGGCAGAGAAGAGCCAGAGTCAGAGAAATAAAGCAGTTCTTCAGCATGGCTGCAGTGAGAAAGGATTCTGAATCCAGGTGAAAGTATCAGGCTGTTGCCTGAACCACTGAACAGCCCCTCCTTTCCCGTGCTACTACAAAGCAAAACTTTTCCTTTCTTTGTATTTTCCTGTGCTCTGCTTGACACTGTTTTATGAATTCAGGGTGGACCGAATACATGCAACTTACTAATTGGTTTATTTCTTTATCTTTCACAGGAGAGTCACCTCCTGAAAAGCCTACCATAATAAAGTGCCGTTCTCCTGAAAAGGAAACATTTACTTGTTGGTGGAAACCTGGTTCAGATGGAGGACATCCTATTAATCACACTTTGCTTTACAGCAAAGAGGGGTAATAAACTGTATATAGTTATTCAGTGTTTTATTGGAAGGACCTGGAAAATCCATGCTGATTGTTTTTGCATTTAGGGAGATGTCATTTTCTGTAGTACATGGTTTTGTCCAGTGGCATATTCTGAAAGAGTGCTAAAGCAGCAGTGTATTTAAGAGTAAAATAAGATCTCTTTATAGTGTTAGTGACTTATTGTGAATTACTGTGAATTATTCTACTCAGAAAGATAGACTGTCTTGAAAGTTGCCATTGTCCAGCAACTGCATATTGTTAAGTAATATAAATCACAGTCATGCAGCCCTAGAAACTCTTCGGTCATGCAACCCTAGAAACAAAACTGTCCAAAGTGACCAGTGACCAGATATTAAAATCTTTGTCTTCTGATAATGCTTATTTTGCGCTAGTACTCATAGGCCATGAATACCCTGTGGCTTCTGCAGTAGTATTTTTTTGGAAATTAGATCAAGTGCTAAACATTCATTTTAAAGAAATAGTCAATATATATTTTTAGGTTCTGTGTACTATTTTTGGTTCACCTAGTGCTGCTCAGCCTTGCACTGACCTAACTGGATGCTAAATTCTGTAATTGTCAGCTGTGAGCTAGGTCTTACTGGAAAAAGACAGGTACTGGTCCATCCAGGTAGGACAGAGTAGGAGGTCCACGTCCACAACTCTCTCTTTTGTCACTGTGCATCTCAGAGGAGTTTGGAAACAAGTGCTACATACTCAACTTTTTCTCCTATCCCTGCTTTGACTTTGGAAAGCTTGGGAAGGGGTTTGGAAGACAGGTGCAAAGTAGATTTTTTTTAACAAGTGATGAAAAAAAAAAAAAATTAAAAACTAAATTCTGAAAGCATATTAGTGTAATATGCAGAACTCTCTGTAAATGTGAAATCACCATTGGAAATAGTTTTTAACAGATAGGTTAGAAAACTTCAGCAATCACTTCTACTTACTCTCTGGAAGATGTAAGAGCTATGCAGTGGACAATGGCTTTCTGAGTAGTAAGAGCTTTACTCTACTAGCCCACTGCTGCATCTAAAAAAGCCTAAATTCTGCAGGCTTTGTAGTCTTTGCTTTGGAGGGGAAATGCTTACTACAGTCTCTGGAATTGTCCAGTGACTCTTTAGTCTAGTCTGGAAGAAGTTTTCTGATTTTCTTCACATTGCCAAGCATGAAAAATCAGATCAATAATGCTGACATACTAGTAATCAAAGCCAGGTGTTTTAGTCTGTGTAGCCTAATCACTGTGATTCTTCCATTTCAGAGAAGAAAAAGTTTATGAATGTCCAGATTACAAAACTGCAGGCCCCAATTCATGCTACTTCGATAAAAAGCACACCTCTTTCTGGACCATATACAATATTACTGTGAGGGCGACTAATGAAATGGGAAGTAATGTCTCTGATCCTCATTACGTGGATGTGACTTACATAGGTAAGAGTTAAAAAGTATTTTAAAAGTATTGAAACAAGTAATTCAGAATCATGGGGTTTGGCACAAAAATTTTAATTCCAGCTCTTCTCATATATGGTATTATATCCATGTTAAAAACTTGTACAAATAAGTTCTTCTCTGATATAATAACAAATCAATATTCATCCCTTTACCGTTTTCTTTTCAAAGGAAGCATAAAAATGCTAAAAGCTTTAAAACTATGTTCAGATAACCATTTATTGTTTTTCTATATTTCTTTCAGTCAAACCCTAAAAACATCATCCAGCTAAAATCTTTTTTCCACTGTACAAGCAGCTGAAATCAAATTGATCTTTTAACAAATAATACTTAAATTTGATTACATAAAAGGAGTCTCCAGACCCAAGAGGAGCTGCATTAGTGCTTTTTATAGCGGTGTACTGATAATCTCTTTCTCAGACTTTTTCCACGGAATGACTGTGTACAAGTATTTGGGGTTTTTTTCTAGCAGAATGGAACATTATCATTGATAACCATTTTGTTGCCAAGGATCTGGCTGCCAGGAGTCTGACAACTGGAAAAGGGCTGCTGAAGAGCTGCTTTATATTTTATCTCTATGCCATGGCTGCTTGCTTGATGAAGCTTTGCATCAGACAGTGGTAAAATACACGCACAATATATGCAGAAGCTCTACGTTTGAACTGAGGAAGCTGCAAGCCTGTCTGAGCAGAAACCTTTGTTCCATTTTGGTTTGGTTTTGAGATATAGACAGAACTTTAATATTGCTGTTTCGGTTTACTTTTAAATACTATACATATGCATTTGGGATTACGCTGTTGTGTTTTCTGAATGTAAAAGGTGGAGGGGCAAGTTCCATCAGCTACATCTGTGTTTTCAGCATTTCTAAATATTTATGCCAAACGTGGATAAGGTTATCATTAAACACATCTTAACATTAAAGATGTTAACTTTGAAACATAGTTGTGGGGAAAAGCAGCAATAAATGGTAATGTAAGAAAAAAGCATTTTTGCTGTTTAATGATTAAGGCAAATCTCAACATGAATTCAACATATTTACTGTTCTTCAGGGGTTTTTTCAAATTATAAATCCATACTTACTTTATCTGGAAACTCTGTATTCCAACATCAGTTCTAAATTACTGGACACAATGGAGGTGGCGACTCTTCACTCACATAATTTTATATTTCTTCCTAGGATGCAAGGAAAAAACAATTAAAACTCTTTTTGACAGTTCTTTATTTTAACAGTACAGCCAGATCCTCCTGTGAACATAACTCTGGAATTAAAAAAGTCAGTAAACAGAAAACCATATCTGGTCCTGACATGGTCTCCACCTCCACTAGCTGATGTCAGATCTGGATGGCTTACTCTTGAATATGAATTGCGACTAAAGCCTGAAGAAGGAGAGGAATGGGAGGTAAGGATGTTTCAAGATAATATTTTCTGGTCAGTTGGATTTTTTCAGCCAGGTTCCATCCACAAATGGAAGCAGGGGCACTGAATAGTCCATAATTTTTCAAAAGTGCTTGTATGATTTCCTACTGAGAACACTGGTATTTCAGATGTTATTGTATGATAGCAGGTGATAAAGTACTTGTTTTTAATTGTGGTCATTTTATATTAATCATATTGGCATGACAATTTAAATTGTTTATTCTCAATCTTTTGTGATAATTTGTTCTTCACCATGAGCACTTCTTAGGTGACAGAAAGCTCAGTGACATTATGAAAATAATTCAAATTTATATAAATGGCCATTAGGTGGTTGTTTTAATGGCCACAGAATAGTAATTGTCTATAGCCAGAATCTGCAACTCAGACAACTGAGTGGCAAATGAAAGACTCCAGCTATTGGTATTTGACTGCCTCCTCTTCTTGTCTGCAATCCTTCCAAACCATCTCTGTATCTTCTCCTTCCTTCCCCCTCCCACGGCACTTCCCAGCCCCCTGGCCATTGAAAGACCTACTTTTTACTAACCTGTAAATTTCCACCAACTCGATATTCCCTCTTTCTCTCTGCATTTTCTTCCCCAATCTCTATTTCTTGCCTCCGTCTGTTCCTCTCACCATCGCAATTCCCACCATTACCACAGTTCCTCCCTATGTGCCATATGTTCATGATGTGTTTTTATAGTGGTTTAATTTGCACCGTATACCACAGCCAGATCTCATTCCCACTGATGTTAGAAAGCTGAACTTTAGAAATAAAATACATGTACCATTATTCCATGCCTGCTTAGTAATTATTAGGAAATGCTATCCAGACTCATTCTATATTCCTGTCTTGGTTACCAAAACCTTAGCTGTGATTTTTGTTTAATTTCCAGACTATTTTTGTTGGACAGCAAACACAATGTAAAATGTTTAGTTTAAATCCTGGAAAGAGGTACATTGTACAGATTCATTGCAAACCAGACCATCACGGATCATGGAGCGAGTGGAGCCCAGAAATGTACATTGAGATTCCTACTGGTAAGTGGCCAGGCATTCCTTCCGCAATTGTTATTACATGCAATTGTATTTTTGTTTGTTAGCTGTTTGTGGCACCCATGCAGATCCCATATTTTCCCCAGGACAGGCAAGAACATCGTTGCTAAGGTAACTGGATTATTATTTCTCCTGCACCATACCCAGTTAGCTTTCCCCTTCATTACTTTGTGGTGTTAAGAAGGTGAATAAATTTCTTTGCTTATTTAAACCATGCTCTTTCTGTCTATTGCCTCATTTGTTCTCATGATGGTAGTTTTTAATTAAAAGAAGGCTGGTAAGTTCTTTACAACTTTGACACAGGCAACAAAAAGTGACTGCCTTCAGATAGTAACAGCTTTTATTACTCTTTATATGGAATTAATTTGAAATCAATACTTCCATATAAAAAGTGTTATTTTACAATAAAAATAACTTAAAATAGCTAGTCCTAGGTCATTTAAACTCCCAGTTAATGAGTTATATGATATGTATTTGATAATGAAATGACTGTGGGTTTGGTACAACTGGATTTGAACCTAATTGCTATAAATGGCTGTGACAAAATTTTCCTCTTCATTCATTTTAGTATAATTTTTCCAAGGCAGTTTATTTCCTGTGCGGTACCATTAGTAAAAATTATATTCATTATTAGATATTGCAATGATTGTTGACATCCATATATGCTAGTAAAGCCCTCCAAATTCAATGCCAAGTTTGGCAGTTTAGGCCAATTTTTAAAATAAAAGTCGTCTCTGACTTCTTGTGCATGCTGACTATGCATATACTAGATGTATGTCCTTAAATAATTCTGTTTGTTTCTTAGATTTTAGAGTAAAAGATATGGTTGTGTGGATCATTGTTGGTGTCCTGTCATCTCTAATATGCTTAATCATGAGCTGGACAATGATTTTGAAAGGGTACAGGTAAGTCACCAATTTCACAAATGCATGGAGTTCAAAATCACAGAAAACTTTTCAAAAGTAGACTTCAAGTATTTGACTCAATTTCCTGTAGCATTTGTGTTCTCTTACAAACTGTTAGTTACACGATAAAGAAGTATTTCTGCTCCTTAGGGAAACCAGGCAAAATTCTCAATTGGTAAAGACATGTCTCTATTAGATCTGAGAATCTTGGTTAGCCATGTAAATAATTCAGCAAACGTCACTTGGAGTATCCCTGCTTCTGTAGAAGATATGTCTTTGGGTTTTGCTGTAATTTCCTAAAGTGAACAAGGTTATATTATAAGACTGTCTTTCTGCCCACCTGTCTGCCAATTCCCCAAATAATTTATTACAATGCTGGCTAATTTCAATCAAATTTGAAAGACAAAGATGTTGCTTTTGTTCAAGTCTTGCAAAAAAGTACTGTCTGAGTAGAAGAAACTGTGGTTGGAAAAGCCAAGTCATTCGCCATAAATCCTGTTGAGCAGTAGTCAGCTGATAGTCAAGTATGCAGAGACAGGCCCCCTAGTCCTCCTGAACTGTGCCCCATTTCGCTGTTTCTTGGCCAGCGATGAATTTACAGTGGTATAGGAGAATCAGAGGTTAAGGGACTAAAGACAATAAAAGGACATTAGCATTGTTACATTTCCAGTTGAATAACTTTGTACTGTTCTTTTTCTTATAAATGCCTCTAAGGGTACTTTGTGGATTTGTGAATTACCTGGCTTGAGGGGTAGACAGGAAACAGAGGTCCAAGAGGGCCATATCAGATATGGGAGAAGCATTTAAAATCTGTGTCACATTCTGAGGAAATGGGAGAACAAATAGTGAGATAGGGCCCATACTTACACCTCGTGTGTTTGTTCTGGGTTTTTTTCAGAATGATGGCCTTTATCCTACCACCAGTTCCAGGACCAAAGATAAAAGGCATAGATAAACATCTGTTAGAGGTGAGTACTACAGCTAACATGAAAAGAATTTACTAATACTTACTTTTCCAACTTATGTACTAGCAACCACAATTACCCTAGTAAATGATGAAATTCCTTTAATTAATCAATGTTTAAAATAGGTAACAGTTTCAGGTTGATCATGTGGAGGGTATGTGTGAGACAGAGTTTTGCCTCACACTTGTAGTAGGAGAGTGTTTGAGAACAAGGTTTGTGACCATGGCTGTTTCCTGGGACACCAGAGGAAATGCCTGTGTGATCTTCCTAACAGTTCTTATGGAAGTCCTACTAGTTCTTACCATGCTGAGGTGGCAGGACATGGCTGCACTATCATTCCATTTCCTTCTTGTTAAACTCAGGAGACCCACACCTGTCAAAAGCTCCCAGGTCCTCCCATTTTAGAAACATGAATTCTGCAATTGTGTCTCACCACTGAGGGAACTCAAGAAATTTTCTTCCCTTCTTTCAGTGTTTTCTGCAGCAGTAGAAATCCAGTTTAGGTCTAGTGATATAGCTATTGAAGTGTTTGTATAGCAAATATGTAAAATGTTCGCAATTGTTCTAGTCAGATAAACCCTAAGGTTAACAATGAAAAATTATATCCTATTTATTATGCCCTTAGACAGGAAAATCTGAAGAATTACTGAGTGCTCTTGGTTGCCATGGTTTCCCTCCAACATCAGACTGTGATGAACTACTGATAGAATATCTGGAGGTAGAGGACAGTGAGGAGCAGCAACTCATGCCAAGCCATGACAATCCCAGTAAAAATACAAAAAGAATACCCAAGGAAACAGACAGTGACTCGGGCCGAGGGAGCTGTGATAGCCCTTCCCTGCTCTCTGAGAAGTGCAGGGAGCCTCGTGCCCTTCCATCAGTGCTTCAAACACAAGAAGTAAGAGCTGTCCAAGAAAATAAAGGAGCACAAAGGAGCTGGGAAACTCAGTGTATAGCCTCAGAACAGGAAACACTCCTTTTTAACAATGAGAGTACAAAGTCATCCACATGGCCTGCAGTTCAGTTACCACCTAATAATCAGCTTCCTATATTTGCCTACCACAGTACTGTGGAGGCACACACGATAATACTGAGTACCACAAATGTGAACATTTCACCAGTTTTGGTGGGAAATGAAGAAGAGCATCAGTCACGATATCCTGTTACTGAAACTGTCCATGACAACATGGAAAAGCAAAGAGAGATGGAGTATTCCAAAACTGAACAAACTACAGTGCAGGTCAAACAAAACAGACATAATGACAAGTCACCTTTCTTGAATCCTAAACTAATGGACTATGTAGAAGTTCATAAAGTCAGACAAAATGAGGAGCCAACAGTATTACTGAAACATAAAGATAATAACAGAAAGACTGAAAAATACACTGTTCCAGGAACCAGCAAAGAATATACCAAGGTCTCAACAGTTGTGGACCATAATATTCTAGTATTAATGCCAGATTCACGCATCCAGCACACACCTGTATCTCAAGAACCTGCAATGGAAACATCACAGAACCTTCAGCAAAGTCAAGCTGAGAAAAATATGAGCTACTGCCTGACAGCTCCAAGTGATTGCAAAAGAGAGACCAGTGGATCAGAGTATATGGACCCATCTTCCTTTATGCCCTCCTTTAAATAACCAGTTAGTACAGTACATACTTATATATTAAAACAAAATCACATAGCAAACCGTTCTTCAAAAAAGCCTAGCCTCTAAAAGCCTAGTCTCCTGTGTGTATTGTACAGATAATAAAATAGACAGTGGGTTGAGGTAATAATCATGGAAGTAAATCATGGAGCATTAACACATGTTTCTGACACAGTGAAATGAGGAAATGGATATTGTCTGCCATGAAAAATACATAGTAAAATAATTATTCAGTTCTGCAAAGCTGTTAATTGATTAAGCCTGAGGGAGTACTGCAGGTTCAACAAAGATGAAAATTGTTACGGGTCAGTCAGCACACCATGGTGATCGGAGCAGTTCCTCTGTTAGATAAATCATTGCACAGCAGTATTGTTATCTACAGTGTCATTTCTTCTGAGTGCATTCTGACATTAGATTAAGATTTCTTTATATTTTTTTCTCAATCCTTGAGAAAAAAGGAGTTACTGTATATGACAAATCATATATAAAAAGAATATATTCTACAAATGACAGTAAAATAACAAATTCTTCTAAGGATATTTTTGCTTTGTTTCAATGTGATAGAAAACTTTGCATCCCATTCATATCCCAGACCAGGCAAACCAAACATGAAAAAAATAGCAGGATAATATTTGATATACTGCCTTACTGTATATAATATACAATTCTACTTTAGTATAAGCCCATATGTTTAACAATATATTTTTAAAGGCTATTTTTCTATTATCAAAAAAGAGCAAAATAAAATATTTTTTAATTTCCCAGTGTTATTTAGCTACTTAGGAACTTTTCTGTTTCCTTCTGCTGAGACAGCAGTACCAAGTAAAGCTACAATTTCTATACAAAGCATGAAATTAAACTTTATACTAATTAAGAATATGAAAAAATTTTTAAACTATATTTCTAATATATTACAGATGTATTACTATTTGAATTGTAAATTATTTCTTTCACACGTTTTTTATCACCTATAATTATATAATTAAAACAGAATCTAGGTTTTGAGAGCAAAATTTATTTCCTTTTCTGATGCCAATAGTGAATGGAATGGTGTTCTCCTGCATCCTTAGTCATTGCACTTTTCTCTGAGTCTGGAGGGAAAGTTTGAAATCAGATTTTTTATAACGAATTTAGTAACATGAATTTTGGAAACCAGCCTCTAAAGCCAAAGATAAGAGGAATAAAGTCTGAGTCATAGATCTGCTGAAATAGCAATGAGAATAAGGAAAGGAGTCCATGTACTAGAGCTGGACATATGTCCCCGGAACAGCAGTGGGAACAGTAAGGATTCATCGTATCCCATGTAAATGGAGACAGAATCAAAATTATACTGTAGTGGCTGTGAACTTACTGTGGTCCTTCCTTCTTGAAACAAAAGTTTAATTTACTCCAGAAAAGTACGACCAAGTGATGACTGATTAAAACTGGACCAAATATTTAGCCACTCTATCTAGCTTCAGGGGAAACATAAGGTAAGGGAAAGGTTCTGTACATATGAAGGAAGATGTATTTGATAAATGGACTGACTCTCTTTTGTTCTTCTCCTTCCTGAACAGTTCTACATTTCTCTATATTTTCATGATTTTATGCACTGAGACAGCCTTCCTGCAGTATGAGGTACCTGCTGCAGAGCCAGCCAAAAGAGAATTTCAGATTTTGAAGGTCCCAGAAGGCCACATCTAATTTGACAAATCAGATTTTCACCCTTTACCTTCAATGCCATGGAACTGCTCAAGTACAGATTAGTTGAGCTATCTAGCCTTTCCACAGGCAGGACTTAGGAATTTAACTGATTGTCTGTGTGTCTATAAACATATGTGTTAGTGTAGACTGTAACATTTACTTTAGGCATCAGATTTGGAGCCTAAATCCTCTATACAGGTAATGTACTGCTGACTTCCAGAAGCTGATCAGAGCAGTCTGGCTGCTCTAATGAATGTGTGGGGAGGTATCTTAGATTCTTAATACATCCACTTATTTAACACTTGAAGACATGAAATGGCTACTCCAGAGAGCAGCCAGACATAAAACTTTGTTTAGTTATGATTAACAGAATAATTTTACTGTAGATATACTTTTCATAGTATATCTTACAAATTTCTGGAGATGCTAAAAGTACTGCAAAGAAACTATTGAGTTATCAAGAAAAACTGGAATGTTTTGCAGGACAGTAACTTGTCTGTGTGCAAGTATGTAAGCTGGTTATACACTGTGTCTGACAGTGTTTCATTTACACTTCAGTTTTCTGACTGAATCTGACAGAGCTAATCCAGACCAGACACATTCTCTTTCTTTACACAGATAGTCACATCTGTGTTGTTTCCTACACCTAATGCTGCACATAAAGACATGCTGCTACAGGCCTTCTGGGAGGTATCTAGTGATGCACAGAAGGATATAGAATCTTACCGAGCCACAGCCTAAAGATGTGCCTCATATAGTGGATTTCCTAGATTAAAGCACATGTGACTACACAGACCTACGACAGCAGCAGACTGTTGCTGTGGTATTGGTTACTTTGTACCTGAGGCAAACAGGCCCAACTTTTGGCAGATTTTAAGAGTATGATTCATCCCATAGGCATGTGTGCCTCCAGTAATCCACAGAGAGAGAGAGTCAAAGAGTTTCTATGCTTTGTCATGGATTAGTACTGAACTGCAAAATAGCTGTAGCATAAACTACATCATATGGTGTTGATTCTATTCCACCTTTGCTGATGAACGTCTCAATATGCCAAATCATCGTGGCTCTCAGTGAAAAGGTAAATTCAGCCAGAGTGGAAAAGGGGGACATTTGCTCACTACATGAAGTTTTGAGGGATTTGCTAGTTAAATATAATATAAACACAATTTTTATAAATATACTTTATTCTTTAAGCTGGACAAATGTGCAGATTGATTATTTTTCCTTGGATTTGCTTATGTTTTCCAAAATACCTTGTTACTCCCAAGGGCGGAGCAACACCTTCTGAAAGTGACCTTTAACATCTGAAAGTATATGACAAAAATAATAAACTATTGTTCTGTGAAATCAGAATAACCTTCAACTAAGTGTTTGGTCCTTTGAATGTTCAAATACTTAATTCTTTCTGTTTGTGATGATATTTTTGCTTGTAGTTCTTAAGCTTTTTATTAGGAAATAGATGAGCTTTTGCAGCAGTTGTACACAGTCAATTGATGTAAAATTATGACAACACCAGTAGGGAATAACAGGCTCTTGACACCTCCTTTGATATCCAAAGGGATGAAGTATACAACAGAATTTACCCCAGAAACAGTGATTAGCCCACTAGCTCTTGCACCATAAGTCAGATTTCTCACATTGAACAATTATTTCAAGATGCAAACGATGTTTTCAATGTCAAAGCTATGCATGTGTCATTTATAGTGTGAATTACTTTGTAATAGCATAAAAGCCCTAAAAGAAAGAATAAAGACTCTTCAAAATAATTAGTTTTATAAAATTCATAAAATTGAATATATATATTTTAATTAATTACCTTTCCTTTTGACTCAGATTAATTTTATTAACTTTTTTCAGTACTGACAAATATGATTCATTATCGTACATTTTCTAATTAGACTTTTTTTTTAGCAAAGACATATTTGATGTACTATTTTAGTATCTCAGTGTTATATTCCAGACTTTTAAAGAAATACATGTTATTGAATTGGCACGTGTGCTCACAAAGCTCACTGTCACACACAATGCAGGCTTGAACAATGGTCTTGATAACATCATGTAACTACAAAGATTATTTCATAAAAATGCAGTAAACTGACCTTATATAATATTAGTAAGAGGATATATGTGTTTACATAACTGTAAAACAAATATGTAATGATGATTTATGTTAAAGCAGTGAATTTCGTAGTATATCTGTCTATGTGTCTATGTTTAAATGGCTGAAAAATAGACAGTTGCTTTAAATGTCATTTAAGTATTTAAAGTGTTGTGGCAGCAGGTGTTCAAAATCAATAAGCAGAATTTTTTTGTGCTCTCTGAAGCATTGTATGTGTGGGGTTCACCTCCTGAAACCTGTAAGTGTATTTCATAATTTTATGGTAACTGTAAACGATTTGAAGGTGTTGTGCAAGGAAACTGAAGTCACTTAAGCCAGTTGATAGATACCAGACATCTTCTACAAAGCCATAAAGACAAATGAAATGAAAAAAATGTCATGAGATCAGGCATCATATTCTCAAATAATTGCTACCTCAGATTTTTTTTTTCTCCCTTTAAAAGGCAGGCAAAACCATTTTGCTTTTTGTACAAAATAGTGAATCAGTCTATCAAGATTTAAAAAACCTTATTTTTAAATCCAAATTATTTTTGTTAACAAACAGCTTGTCACAAAATCATCACTTGTTTTGCACTGGTAGTATGAGGATGGGATATTTGTCATGTGTGGCAAAATTAAATGTTTTTAATATGAAAAAAAAACCACTGAAAATTCCATTTTGTAGGAAAAGCCATGTTTCCCAGCTTGGCAGTCAAACATCAGTCCCTTTCCTGACCTGAAAAGTTTATTGCCACTACCTGTGTTGCCAGGTTGCTAGGACTGAATGAGCCAAATTTCCAGAGATGCCCTCATTCTGGATCTAAGCATTTATCAATACTTGCTATTTAGAAATACCTGTTTTCAGCTGAGTTCCTAGGAAGTAAATCTTTTCTGTCTCTACATGAGCAAAAGTGGAGACACCTACTCTCAACTGTCTCAAACCCTCATACTAAATTCAGACTCCAGTTCCCTTGGGTGTGGAAAGATGGACTGAATTACAATTTGAACAACCTTGTGACCCTGCCTTGAAAATGATTTTGAAACAAATCAGGGAATTTCTTCATCTTTCCTGTGTATGTCAAGCAGGAAAATAAAGATAAGTGGATACATAAATACATAATATATGGGGATATAAAGAGCTTAATGATCATAGAAACATAGAATTGTTTAGGTTGGAAAAGACCTGTAAGGTCATAGAGCCCAAATGTTATCCCAGCACTGCCAAGTCCACCACTGAATGACGAGAACAGGGACAAGGTTGCTGTATGTGGCAGAATGGGAAAAGGAGCACAGTCACTATAGCACAGTACATGGGTAGATGACGAGAGAAAAAATGCATTTTGACTACTACTGAGAAGAGAAGGAGGGAGAACAGAAAATGGAAGTGAAAGAATCAAATGTAAGAGTAGACAGGAAAAAATGAGAACTAGTAGAGCTGAGAGGAGTGATAAATGAGTTACTGAGAAAAAAAATAAAAGAGAAGAAAATACTTCTATATCAAAAGTGGGAATAAGCACAGCTACCTGATACAGTCCACGAAAGTAGTAAAGCCTTATTAAATGCTAAAGAGCTGGCAAAATGCTGAAATCAGCTACTATGGATCAGCTATTACATATGAAGGAAAAAGTCCTTCAACAACATGAGAAGTTGTCATTCACTTTCTATCAGTTACAGGGTTTTCTTCCACATATCTGATATTGGTCCCAGGCAAACACAATACTTGAAGAGCTAGACTCTGCATCTGAGTGCTATTGCATTTCCTACATTCCTAAGGAAAGAAGCTCCAGAGAAATAAAGTGTACCACACTTCTTTTAAAAGCAACCTTCAATTTTTCAGACAGATATACGGATTAGGTGTATTTATCCATTTACTTTGTCCCACACATATGTCTACCATTCTTAAACATTCTTCTGTTTTTATTTATTAAAGATAATGCAATGACCTAGAAGCTCCAAGAGAAAAAATACTTTGGGGATATTAAAAGAATCTCTTGGCATTTCTGGGCATTGTTTCTGTTTGTACCTGGGACAATGTATCTGTTAATATTTTCCTTAATCAGAAAGTCCCTGTCTTGGTGATAAATCTGGAAAATTTTGGAAAATAACCAAGAGAGGCTTAAAATACATATCTTCAATTTAAGTTAAGCTTTTAAGAGACACTATTATATCTGTTGAAAGTAATGAAAAATACTCAAATTAGCTGTGTGGCCTCTTACAGTGCTGATATGCTAAAAGCTGATCTTATACTCAAGATATTGGTGTATAGAGCAGTTAGATATGAGAAAGTCGTTTTTTATATATTCTTTTATTTTTGGAAGGTTAAATGTCCTTTTCTACTTTGTGATGCTGCTTGTCTTGTATCTTGTCTTTATTTAACTTTTTTTTGGATAATGCTGCTTTTGGGTCTATTTTTATGAGCTGTTGAGTACTTTCACCTCATTTTGACATCAGTAAAAATTGAAAGATTTCACTTCAGTTCCTGCAATGGTCAGTTTTAGAGACGTAGCACTGAGTGGAATTTTTACAGGATGCTGGAAATCTTTGTACAAGTCACTTGTAGAAAATACTCCTTCAAGAGGACAGAAAACTATACATGTCTGGGAAGAGGCATATTTTTCTACAGGCAGAAATATAATGATGTCAGATCATATTTTATAAAATTCATAATACTGTAGACTACTCTTAATTCTCATCTATGTGTCCTTCATTCCAAAAGGAAGAGGAAACTACTGCTCAGTATAATCAGAAAGAGCTTTAGTGTTTATTTTTCATCTTGGTAAGTAATTTTTTTAATTCTGACTACCAATACCATTTACCATCTGAAATAACACAACCATCAGTTCCATATATGCATTATATTGCTCAGACATACTCAGCACTATTTCGGCTTCTGAAATCTTTATATTGTGCTTTGTATATTTTATAGTCATTGTGTAAAATATAGCAATACTGAGGGCACTGGTATGAAAAAGTACAGCCCAGAAAAAATATGTTAGCACTCATTAACTAATCATATTTTTTCAAATTCTTGCCACCCTGTTAAGTGAAGAGGAAAGTCTCTGAAACTTCCTTGCCTTTAATTGTGCCAGCAGTCTCTCAAAGAAACATAACTTGCATCTTCTGAATAATATACAGAATAAACAGTGTATTTTCAGGGGAGAAAGAGATGATCCAATATTTAAAGCCAATGTGTTTCCATTTGCATAATCATTTCATTGGTAGCCTTGCAATACAAGCTAGGCATTTTTCCCACTAAAATTTCAGAATTTGTATGCAATCTGGAACATCAGTGTTATCGCAGTAGCAACAGAATGACTTCAATCACAATTATTCTGTGAACCGAATCCAAATTTTTTTAAAATTTCTAAAATATAAGAAATTGTAAGAATTAGATTTCATATGCAGTATGTACATTGGTTGGAGAATACTGGTATAAAAATAGTTGCTCAGGAATTCTTCATTGTTTCTAAGTGAATCTGAAGGAAAATGCTTTAAAATGCATTTTTAAAGTTTGTAATATTGAAAATGCTGGCTTTATTAAAATCTATTGGTGTTTTCACTTGTAAGATCAATATTGTTCTGAAGTCTGTAGCTTTCTGATGGAATTTTCAATCTTTTGTCATTGTAAAATCTCTTTGCAATGGTGTTTGCATTTCAATTTAATAAAAATTCTTGAATAAATTTCACAGATTCTACCTTTCATCATGATATGTAACAATTCCAGTATATAATACATAGAAAGAAAAAGGAAAAGCCAGACGTCCAACACAGTCTGTAGGATGGGATCCTGCTGACAGATGTGTTTAACCTACTTTGCAGGCACTCAGCAACTGAACCCCTTAACAGAGGTGGGTCACCCACCAGGTCACAACTTTTATGCTTCTTTATGAGTCTTGTAGTCATGAAAATTTTCACTGAAGTTAAGGGATTTCAAGGTAGTGAAAGTAAAATGTGATTGGAAAGAGCATTTGGGCATCCTCAGGTATGTAAGCACTGGCCTGGTTAGTAGAAGGTACAAATCTCTGATGCGTTGCAACAACATCAGTCAGTTTTCCTGTGAAACTGGGGCTGCCCTTCAGGGCAGATGTCTTCAGCCTTCTGCCTTAGAAGCAGCCAGGGTCCCCAAAACCTGTGAAATACCTCTCATTGATAACTGTGTCTAGTTACAGTGTATGCCAATTGCCATTCTAGGAAACCCAGGTCGAGCCTTAGTTCTATTAGTATTACAAGGATGTGCTGGTTTTGGCTGGGGCAGAGTTAATTTTCTTCAGAGTGGCTGGTATGGGGCTTTTGTTACTGTTAAGCAGGGCTTACACAGAGCCAAGGCCTCTTCTGTTTTTTGTACTGCCATGCTGGCAAGGAAGTTGGGGGTGCATGGAAGGCTGGGAGGAGACACAGCTGGGACAGATGATTCCAGCTGACAAAAGGGATATTCCATACCATATGATATCATGCTCAGTATATAAAATACTGAGTAAAGAGGGGACATTTGGAGCAAAGGAATTTGTCTTCCCAAGTAACCATTATATGTGATGGGGCCTTGCTCTCCTGAAGATGGCTGAATACATGCCTGCCCATGAGAAGCAGTGAATTAATTCCTTGGTTTGCTTTCCTTGTGTCTGTGGCCTTTCTTTATCTCAACCCATGAGTTTTCTAGCTTTTACCCTTCCGATTCTCTGTCCAGTCCCGCTGGTAGGGAAGCGAGTGAGTGGCTGCATAGGGCTGGGTTGATGGCTGGGATTAAACCACCTCCATTACAGGAAGGTAATGAAGGAAGGCAGTAGAGCTTCCCATTTCTCCCATCCTTGTAGGAGATTGTGTTAGATCTCTTTGCCCATGAAGCAGAACCAAAAAAATTAAGAAATGGGTCAGCAGTGACCCTCTCACAATGTCTCTCAGTTTCTCCTCATCCACCTGCCTGTATTTGACATAACAGAATCACAGAATGGGTCAGGTTGGAAGGGACCACAGTAGATTATCTGGTCCAACTTTCCTGCTCAAGCAGGGAGCACATTGCACAGGATTGTGTCCACATGGTCCTTGAATATTGCCAGTGTGGGAGACTCCCAGAGTCTTCCCTCTGGGCAACCTGTTCCAGTGCACAGTTACCCACACAGTAAAGAAGTTCTTCCTCATATTCAGGGGGAACTTCCTGTGCATCAGTTTCTGCCCACTGTCTCTTTTTCTATCTCTTGGCATCACTGACCAGAGCCTGGCTCTGTCCTCCTGACACCCTCCCTTTAGATACTGTTAGACATCGGTGAGGTAGGTTCCCTCTCAGTTGTCTCTTCTTAAGGCTAAACAGGCCCAGTTCCCTCAGCCTTTCTTCACAAGAGAGATGCTTCAGTCCCTTAATGATCTTTGTAGCTCTCTGCTGGACCTGCTCCAGGACCTCCATGTCTCTCTTGTACTGAGGAGCCCAGAACTGGACACAGCACTCCAGATGTGGCCTCTCCAGGGCTGAGCACAGGGGCAGGATCACCTCCCTCGACCAGCTGGCAATGCTCTTCCTAATGCACCCCAGGATTCCATTGGCCTTCTTGGCCACAAGGGCACGCTGCTGGCTCAGGGACAGCTTGTTGTCCACCAAGATCCACAGCTCCTCCATAGAGCTGCTTTCCAGCAGGTTGGCCCCCAGCCTATGGTGCTCAGGATTATTCCTCCTCAGGATCCAGCATTTGCTCTTGTCGAACTTCAAACTGTTCCTCTCTGCCCATCTCTCCAACCTGTTGAGGTCCCTCTGAAGGGATTGGGCTTCAGCCAGAAGTCAGAGTTGCATGCCAGAAAACAGCTTAGGATGATGGGAGAGCACGGGATGACACGGGGGACACAGCATGTGATCACACCAGGGGGACAGCACGGGGTGCCACCAGTGATACAGCATGGAATGACACCAGTGGGACAGCATGGAATGACACCAGCGGGAGAGTACAAGATGACACTAGAGGACAGTACAGGGTGACACCAGGGGGACAGCGCAGGATGACACCAGGGCATAGCATGGGATGACACCAAGGGACACCACAGGATGACACCAGGGGACACCATGGGATGACACTGGGGGACAGCAGAGAATAACACCAGGGGACAACACGGGATGACACCGAAACACAACACAGGATGACACCGGGGCACAGCACAGGATGACAGCAGGGGACAGCACAGGGTGACACCAGGGGACAGCGCGGTATGACACCGGGGCCCAGCGCGGTATGACACCAGGGGCACAGCACGGGATGACACCGGGGCACAGCATGGGATGACACCAGGGGCACAACACAGGATGACACCAGGGCACAGCACAGGGTGACACCGGGGCACAGCACAGGGTGACACCGGGGCACAGCACAGGGTGACACCAGGGCACAGCACAGGGTGACACCGGGGCCCAGCGCGGTGCGTCCGCGGCGCTCCCGGGCACGTGTGGGGGCGGTGCCGCGGCTCGCTGAGGGCGGACATGGCGCGGCGGCCAGGGACGCTGGGCAGCGGTGAGGGACCGGCTGGGCGGGATGGGGGGACACGGCTGCCCGAGCCCTCCCTAAGCGGGGCCTTGGGGGGCCGAGGGTCGCGGTGGGGGCGCGATGCGGCGGGTCTGCTCGCGATCCGGGACCCCGCGCCGTGCGGGTTTGGGTTCGGTGGGACAGACACCCTGCCTGGACGTGGAAGCGGGCGGGGGGAAGCCCTTTCGGTGTTGCTGCAGATCCCTTCCAAGAATTCCAAGGGCAGAACTTCCCTAACGGGTGGGATTTCAAGTAATTTTTTGAGATTGGACTCTTGCTGATGATTAATTCATTAGCGCTCTAAGTGGTGGTAAGGGGATTGACAGTGTATGCAATTTATTTCAGGAAATTTTATTCTTTAGTCGTTTAAATTTAATGTGGTTTAGAAATTTTTTAAAACCTTAAGCTTTTAGAAACAAATGTGTAGCTCTGAGCAGATAGTGTTCGGGGTGCAGAAAGAGACTTTTAAATAACTCTTCACAGAATCACATAATCACAGAATGTGTCAGGTTGCAAGGGACCACCAGTGGGTCACCTGGTCCAACATCCCTGCTCAAGCAGGGTCGTCCCTGAGCACAAGGCACAGGATTGCACTGGTTCTTGAGACAGTTCTTAAATATCCCTCGTGAGTGGAACTCCAGAACTCCTCTGGGCAATCAGGTATCTCTTTGTGATACCTGCTAAATTACACTTGCAATTAAATGAGAGGTAGGACAGTGTGATGCTCCCAGGATTCTGTAGAGAGAATGGAAGATGGCAGTGGGAGTTGTCAGGGCTCTAAGCACACCTGGGCTGCCCTGATCAGCCTCACCCAGGGCCTCTGCCTGTACTCACTGCCCGGGAGCCCTGTTTCAGCTCGGCTCTGCACTTTCAGACCCCTGCTTCAGCTGTGCCATGAGCATAGCCTTGCCACCAGTCCAGCTCTTGTTGTTGTCTCCTGGATGGACCTTGGACTTATGGTGTAGCCTTGTTGACAGCCCTGTCTCTGGCCTCATCTACTGCTGCTCCTGACTGGGTGCCCTGAGTGGACTCTGGACCTAATTCATCTCTGCTTATGTGGGGCGTTCTCTGTGAACCCTGCTTCGCTAACCTTGTTCAGATCTGTTGGGCCTGTGCCCTGCTCCCTGAGGGCACTGCCTGTGGTGCAGCCACCCTGGGCTCCTGCCTCATGTCCTTGCAGAGAATGCTTGTTCTCACTGCTTCCGGATAAGAATTTGTATTAGAAACATTTTTTAAGTCTTTTTCTGTCAAAGTAAAAGTCCATGTGAAACTGAAAACTGAATTTTAGTGGATTAGGAAAAAATGACCTTTTTTTTTTAAATTTACATATATTTTGCCCTTACAAAGATGCTACTTATTTTTCCCCAAAGAAAATTTCTTGGACAAAAAAACCCTCCAAAACTTGCTTTTGCTGTAGTCTGTGTGTTCTCTGAACAAGCTCATTGAGAAACTCTTTCAGATGTGCACTTTGCTAAGTGTTTGATAATTCTCTTACTATTTTGTAGTTGCCTTCAGGCAGCAGAAATGGAAAAGCTCTGTCTCCATACATGCAAAAATGCCTCCTTGTGATTTTGTACCTGAAAAATACAAAGTAAGTCATGTATACTGCACTAAGTTAAAATAAAAGCCCATTGCTAGGTTTGAGTGATAGGCTCATCTGCTATAAAAGTCAATGCATTAAATATGATTATAAAATTTGCTTCTTTGAGTGAAACTGAACTGTTGCAACCAGGATATAAGCTGGTTGTAACCTGTAGATGTACCTGTGTGACAACTCTGTAATTCTACATTGTTCATTTGAAAACCTCTAAGTAATATGCAGAACACCAATCTTCCTTCAAAAGCTGAGTTTCAGAGGTTTGTAGAACCTTCTGTGTGACAGAATTTGTTAAAATCTTAGTTCTGTGAACAACAGCTCTAGAGAGCTGTAATCTATGTGTTCCACTACAATTCCATTGGTCTGGATCTTTAGAAAGCATGAACAGGTACTGACTTTTCTATTCCACTCAGTCCTATCCGTATGAACGTATGCAGAAGATTCGTGAACAAAATATTGCTCCTTCACTGCGAATGTATTACAAGAAGCCATTGTTGCTGCATCAAGGGCATATGCAATGGTTGTTTGATTATGAAGGACGAAGATATCTTGATCTCTTTGCTGGAATTGTCACTGTCAGTGTT